GCTTGGCTATTGCCCAAAATGAATCAGATAGAGTAGGATAATGACTAGCTGAAACGATTGTTGTTGCAGAATCGAATCCGGTCAAGACGTGATGGAGTGCACGAAGTACATCCCAATCATCTGGAGTAAGTGCAGCTAATTTAAGTCGATTCGTTTGAACGAGAGTGAGACCATTGAATTTTCGTCGAACAACGTTGTCGATGATTGTTTGATGTTCAAGTAGACGGTCAAGCATTTGAAATGTGGTATTCCACCGAATCTCCAAAAAAAGTACAAGAAAAATATCATATGATTTTAATCAATCATGAGTGAAAACTACAGTTCTCTCTATTCTACTGGAAATTGAGTCTTTAGGGTGAGATTAGATGGATCACATATGAAATTCGTTTTCAAGCAGATGTTTTGTAAATAGATCATACCTTTCATTCATTTCATTTGATTGCTTTGAAAGGAAAAGCTTACTCGTAAAAGACCTGTATTAGTTAAATTTCAAATGCCCATTCTGTCATATTAAGATAGCACAGCAGTCGCATGGTCCCACGTCACAGATGACTTATTTTATTACGTTTGTTTTACAAACTATAATGCAGGCAAAGATAAACTCTTCGTATTCATTCTCAGCATTTAATAAAAGAATAGATCATTGACAAAGAATCTTAGCGGTTTAGATTAGACTAGTAGTAGTTTAAAAAGATCTTCACCGATATGGATACTTAGGATGTGAATTTGCGTTGAAAATAGATATAAATTTATTTGCATTGTCAATATTTCAGAAAGAATCTAACAAACATCTGTACATTCTCCTACTCTTTTTATTTAGCTTTTCCTCTGAATGAAATTTCTTTGGAGAATATCTAGATGAATTTGAAAACATAAAGGAACTATTTAAGCCGAACATGTAAAAAAAATCTAGAAATTTAACAGTTTCAGTTTGTTTTTATCGCTGAAAAATTAGAAGGAAAAACTTACGACCATATCAACTGTAAAACCACGTCCGTTCCCAATTTCCATCGATGTGTATGTTTGAACAACACCAATATTACGTATGTCTTGTATCAGTTGACGGCATCGGCTAAGAAGATTGAAAACACGTTCAAGAAGACCAACAAGAGTAATTAGTCGAGTTTTTGGTTGAATCATAACTGGTTCATCATCTTCACTTAAGAATTCATCTTGAAATGGTCGACTTATTTTCTTGTTGAGCACCACAACTGTGGATCCGGTTGGTTGAATTTGATCATGTTGAGATGAAGCCAAATGAATATTTTCTTGTGGTTCTTCATCGTTCAATTGTTGTGCATATTGATCTTCGTCGTCCAATAAATCATCTTCGTCACCACCAATACTATGAATCGATTCATTGTTGATGATGGACGCTTCATCAATTGGAAATCTGAAACAATTCATTTCTTTTGTAAAGTCAATACAAAGATGGTGCATGGGTATGCATAACATTCGCATTGAAAATACTGTAACTACTGTCGCTGACAGATTTTTGAACGATTCTCAGAAAATTTCTAGCTAGTATTCGATATTAATTGAGCGATGGACATTCTCGATGAATTCGTCGATCAGAGGTCCTACCACGTCAACTTGTTTTAGGTCTGTCCTGCCTAAGGCAGGCACACGCTTTTCCCAACCCGCCTGTGCCTGTCATCTTATTTCTTCGGCCTGGTCTATCTATCTACCTGCCGTTCACTCCACTCTGTCTGGTCTGTCTGCCAAAGTTTCTTTAACTTTTTCATGTGAACATCATTATCATAGTAGAATTAGAATTTAATCTTCGTAGAGAGTCTAACAAGTCACTGGAATGAATTTATATAACTATAGTAAAAACTCTCTAATGTGAGCATCCCAGAAATATTAGAAATGTTCATTATACAGGAATGTTTCCTTCTTATGTGTGTCCGAAAGCATGTAAGAATAGAAGTAGAACAAAAAAACGTTTACATTGGAAAGGTTTTTCTATAGTCTGATCAATTAAAAGTCTCAATAAAACGCTTAATTTTTTTCCTGTATTTGTAAAGAAAAAAAAGCCAAGTTGTTACTCAGACTTTTAGCTCATAATACTACAGTAACCATTTCACTATGAGCTAAAGGTCTCTGTTAAAGGATAAGCTTTTTTTTGCAGAGAGAGGAAAAAATCAAGCTTTCTACTTGGACTTTTAATTGATCAGATTACAGTTGGTAGAAGTTAGAAAAAAAATTGACAGTTCACTGTCATAAGGTGTTCACTAACAATAGAAAGTTCTCGCGTATGTGCTTTCATTTTCAATCAGCTTTTTGTAAACCTCGGTCATCTGATCGCGATGTTATAAAGCGTTCCTCTCTATAGATTGTCATTGAGGAATTAGTTCGATTCCAACTTCAGAAAAATCACTATCAGTCGTTATTTTGAAAACTTCGATTTTATGTTATGTTAGTTCTCAGAAATCAATGATTTAGGATTGAATATGTCTTAATTGACTGTATAAAAACACCCAATTAGCATAAATAGAAAATTCTAATTGCGTCTATTTTTTGATTATGTGAACACCAAATAATACTGTGAAAGTACGAAGTTCAACTTTTTTTTTTGAAAACTGACTGGATCTCAATTAATATTCAGCCATTTAGGGTACACTGTAAATTAATGTTAATCATGTTCCAGTTATCCATCTTATTTACTGTACGTTTTCCCATAAACTTGCGAGAAAACCAATAAATAGAATACAGACTACTGATAACGATATATCAACAAGACTTCAATTACTAAGTCTTTAAAATAAAATTCTCAGAGGATCCTGATCAGTTTTGGAAAAAAATAGTTGAAATTTGTACATATACAGTATTATTTGGTGCTCTGATACTTTAAGAATAGACACACAGGTCGAAAATATCCCATCGGATCCGAGAAAATCCGATATTATCCGACAATCGAATCCGATGGGATGCCGATAGTCAGAAACCGGCGATGTCCTTTAATTTTCGACGTTTTCCGACAGTCGGAAACCGTCGGATACGACAATATCCGATAATATCGATGTCGTTTGGTCCATTCTTATCAATATTCAAAATACGCTTTAGTCACAGTCTGACAAACAGTGAAGCTATTTTTTATTGCAGAATTCAAGATTAATGTGATTCTTGAAAAGAAATATTTCATATTATATTCACGCAAAATTTTACAATAAGTATTTTATTTTATTTAATAAATTGTTTTTCTTTGTTTTAGGTCAATTTGTTCATCCAAACTGAACAGTAAGTATTTTATTTAATTAGATGAATTTTTTCTTTATTTTAGGTCAGTATATTCATCAAAATTGAGCAGTATGCATTTCTTTTAATTAAATAATTTTTTTTTCTTTTTTTTAGGTCAATTTGTTCATCAAAATTGAACAGTAAGTGTTTCCTTTAATTAAATAAAATTTTTTTTTCTTTATTTTAGATCAATTTGTATATCGAAATTGGCCAGTAAGTATTTTATTTGATGAAATAAATTTTGTTTTCGTTATTCTAGGTCAATTTGTACATCAAAATTTAATAATGAGTACCCATGCCATGAAAATTGGTTTGATTTTGCCGATTTTCATAAAATTGATGATTAAATCGCGATTTTTCTGCTGTATTTCTATAGCAACGAGTCGAAAAAATTGTGGATTAGTTGTTAGCTGAATTACGATTTAGCTCATAATTGATAGGCAGTTTTTTTGGCTTACTACTATAGAAATAGAGCAGAAAACTCGAAATTCATTCACCGATTTTGTAAAAATCGGCTAGATTTTGCCGATTTTCATAGAATGGCTATTTATTTAAATAGTTATATAATCTATGAAAAAAATAAAAGGCTGAATAGTAAAGCACCAATTCTCCAGGTAATTAATATCTAGTTTAGTTATAGCATTCCTGTCGGATCATGCACTTTCCGAGATCTTCCGATTGTCGGATCCAACGTCCGACAACTTCCTGTCGAAATGCGATCGAAAAGAATCCGACAACTTTCCGTCGGAATTTGCCAGATTGTCTAAGGTTTCCCGTAGGATCCGACACTCGGATTACTCGTTCTGGGCACAATTAGAACTTACATTTATGCGGATTGTGTGAATTTATACAGTTAATCAAGATGCATCCAATGCGAAAACTTTGAGTATTGAGAACTAAACTGGCGTAAAAACTGGATAGTGAGGGCGAATGTGGTTCTAATATCCTCATCCATTCTCATCGTGGCTCCTTGATATTAAGAAACAATCTGGTTTTTATTCAAGAACATTTCGAATGAGTCTGAAAGACAAAAATGTCGATCATAGTATTACAATTAAAAGAGGAACGACATTCACTGGGCACTAAATATGCAGCACAAAGAGATCGTTCAATCTTATCTGAACTAACTGCGATCGGAGAAAGATGGCGAGCAGATTATGATAAACAGCGAAGTTTGTGTAGATAATCTTTCCGAAATTGTAGTAAATCTAATCATTTCTAGATATCTTCAAGATTCATTCTTAAGTGTTCACCCAATTCGACATATATAAATGTTATCCTTGGAAACTAACTCAGATGTATCGGTATTCTGAAAACATATTCTATTTATGAGATAAAACTTTGATATGAAAAAAAAAATACACAGACCAGACGCCCTCTCATTTTTCAAGTGATCTGTCTGTCACTGGCAGGCAGACAGGCTTAGTGGCTTGGTTGGAACTCTGTCGATGATCTTTCTTCCGATGATATGTACAGAGAAATATAAATGCTGTTTCTTAAACTATAATAGGGACATTTCTTTTTCGATTTTCTATCTTCTACTGTTGAGATGCATTGGTTTGGATGAGTTTAGCTTTGTCTATTCTCTCTAGACATATAAAAGAGAAAACTTACTTTTCAACATTTGGTGGTGACCATAAGGAAAGACCATTTATGACAACATTGTTCCACACATGTGCTATACAAGCGTGTCTTGGACCGAATAAACCATGTGATGTTGCTGCAACCATTTCACTTGCACAATCGGTTGTTATTCCAGCTCATTGTTCAGGCCTAATTTGAAATTTTTCATCAAGTTCAAACATAAGAAATGATTGAATATTGACGGCGAGATGACGTTCAGTAAGTTGTCGTAGAGATAACACGAGTGGTACAACTGTAAATTCTTCATCAAACATATGAGCAGTTAAAGAAATGTAATATTTTCTGGCACCACTCTTCCAGATGTCTGCAGTAAAAGCAACAGCTGGTACACGTTTCAATATAGACTAAAAAAAGAACAGAATTACATTTTGGTATTAGGGGTGACCCTTTATCTTTACTATCCCTTATAATAAAGGATAAAGATAAATGACTCCTTTACTCTTAAAAAATAAAGATAAATGAATCCTTTACTCTTAAA